TGAGAGAAGTTTTGTTGTTGTAAATAGTCATTTCATTTGTTGGTTGTTTGAATCATGTATATTCCAGTTGTTATGAATGCCTTGGGCAGTAATATCCAATTATCCACATAATTTTGATATTAAATCGGGTATTTGTAGATGAACAATAGCATGCTTTTTTCTTCTTGAAATTAAACCCAGGTTTTGATATTCAATTCAAAATGAAAGAATTTTTTGTTCAAGTTTGATTTTATAGACTGCTGTTTAAATCAAGATAAACATTAACAAAAATAGACCATAATGAGAAACTTGATCCATTCCAGGAACATGATGGTACCTGCATTCAAAACCTATTCAATTCAATTCATTTATTTCCACACAACTTAAAAAAACAGTAAAATGTGTATAACAATCCAGAAATTTGAATATTACAATAAAAAGAATAAAGACATGCAGTAAACAACGATAAGTACTTAAAATGATAATTGAGTACATGTGGAAGACTAGCAAAGGCCAAATGCCTATCAAGGGCTATTAAATCCCCAGCAAGGTTGGGATAAGAAAATAATGTAGCTAATAATTTATGCACTCATTTTAATAGAACAAGATATGGGACAATGTAAAACTATAAAAACAAACCTACATGTACATGTATGTATGGGAATGAGAGAATTGAGGAATCGGCCATTTAAAGATAAACTTGAGTTCTGGTAATGCGATTGCATTGTGAAAGAAAAGGTGTAAAATGGATCAGAAAAGTTGATCATATAGCATGTAAGTAATGGTGTGTAATGCAAGGTTCTGGAGTCATCAAAATCATCATAAATTTGGCAGAGTCTTGGTAAAGAATCACTTACACAGAAAGATGTATATGGGACAACACATATGGTGTCGGGGCTAGTACTATCCTGATTTCCTTATCTTTATCCTTATCTTACTCAGCCAGTATACATTTTCTTCCAAAATTGTTTGGCACATGACATTTATTTGTAATCTTGAACATTCAGTGTAAGTTTCGATAGTTTCTGTGAGAATTCATTTTCTTTTTTTACCAGAACTCAAGTTTATCTTTAAGGGTGATTCATGCAGGACACCATACTCTCTGCATCCATCACCACAGCAGCTGGCGGAGATGATGACCAGGGCAGGGACCATTTCTCAAAGCCTTTTTTCCATGACAAATGACAAAAATCTGCCAATAACCAATCAGAACCAAGGATTTCACTTGCTTATAACAAAAACTGTCATTTGTAACTGATGACAAGTGTTGTGAAATGGGGCCCTGAACGTTAATGATTTCTCATTGGATATCCATCTTTTTGAGAATGTATTAGAAATTTAATCAAACAAAATCGTGTTTTTCTGTGTGTTTACAGAAAGGGTTTGGATACAAAGGAAGCAAGTTTCATCGCGTGATCAAGGATTTCATGATCCAGGGAGGTGACTTCACAAAGGGAGATGGCACAGGAGGTAAGCTATTTCATCATATCGAGGCCGGGTCGGTGAGACAAAGACGTAACTCCATTTTGGCCATTTTGAGAAAAAGTGGTTTATGTGTCACTTCAATTGGGTGTCGGGTGGAGTTAAAGGACAAGTCCATTCCAAAAATAACTCACTTTCAATTGAAGCAGAAAAATCAGACAAACCACTCAAAAAAAGATTGAGCAAAATCGGATAACTAATAAGAAAGTTATGAATTTTTGAGAAAGTATGTAAAACTATGGACCAATGTAAAGCACAAGACAAATTGGGAACTCACTCATCAGTCTGTGACGTCATGTCATTACTATCCACTAATTATTTTCTTAATATTGATAACATAAATGTCCTATTTTCCCCCTAAGAATCTTATTTATTTACACCGGCATCCAAGTGAGATTGATAGTAATATGTTCTTGTGTGGATGCACTTAAATATAATCTTTCCAGTTAAATCATGAAAAATGTGAATTGTGATAAACTATTTGTTTAAAAATCAATAATTATGAATATACAATATTCAGAAATTACCGGTAGTATAACTTCTCCAAAGTTCATAAAAGATTTTGTGAAATGTCATGCATGCAATATGATACAAATCATATAAAAAGAGAAATTAATGGGATTAAACTACCGTATATAAAGCAATTGATAAATAGTGAGGACATGACGTCACAAACTGATAACCAAATTGGCAATTGGTGTAGTGATTTTCATTGTTCCATAGTTTTACATACTTTTTCGAAAATTCATAACTTTGTTATTCATTATCCGATTTTGCTCAAACTTTTTTTGATTGGTTTGTCTGACTTTTCTGCTTCTATTGAAATTAAGTTATTTTTGGAGTGGACTTGTACTTTAAGTCTTTGTGTTTCCTGGAAAGCCCACATTTTTCTGAACATTTTAATATCGAATACTCATTTTGGAAAAATATGGAGTTACGTCTTTGTGTCACTGAACCCTCGATATGTGGATATGATGTACAGTATTGAGTGGGGAAAAATGATGTTATTTTGGATATTGTGGTAAAGCTACCGAGGTGAGGAGTGGTAGGGGGTAGGGAACACATATCCTGGGGCATACTGTCAGATCACCACGAAACCGTAGCACCTAGAGTCAAATTTCGGCAAGACGTTATCTTTGTATAACCTTTATTTTTTATCACATGGTCAACTGCCTTTTTAAACGAAACTGCAGAATCTGAATATAAAAGAAATTGCTTACAAAGGAAATGATGAGTGGGATTGCCCAAAAAATAACCACATGCAGCATAGGCCCCAATTAAAGCATACTTGCCTAGTCTTGGGGGTGTTTCACAAAGATGCTAAGTTGAACTTATCTCTAAGTTGGACTTAACATTTATGGAAAGCCATTAGCATCCATGAACATTTTTTGTTACAGTTTTTTTTAAAGGCATAAAATGTTGAATCAAATCATTCATATTTTCTATTATCAAGGAGATTTCATGTTCTTGATGTGGAGTTCATAAAAAGTCAAAAATATTTGAACTTTATATTTTATTTTAAGGCTACAAATGGCTCTCCATAAGTTTTAAGTCCAACTTACAGTAGATTCAAGTTTGACTTAGTATCTTTGTGAAACACCCCCCCCCCCCCCCCCCCCCCCCCCCCCCCCCCTGTGTCATAGTTGCAGAAATATGAAACACACCGTTCTTGTTTCATTTGATTTATCTTTTCATATCTGAACAGGTGTGTATCAAAAGCAATCATTGTGTTTTATTTTTCCTTCAGGTAAGAGCATCTACGGTGACAAATTCAAGGACGAGAACTTCAAGCTGAGCCACTACGGTGCCGGATGGCTGAGCATGGCCAACGCAGGCAAGGACACCAACGGATCCCAGTTCTTCCTTACAACCATCAAGACAAGCTGGCTCGATGGCAAGCATGTGGTCTTTGGAAAAGTTTTAGAAGGAATGGTGAGTGTTTGACCTCGTGATCAGAAGAAAAGAATTGCATATTGAAGCTATGATGCATCTTTCATGCTTTTTAATTGCATCTCTTTTGTCCTTATTTTTTTTCTTATCAAGGACCATGTTATATTTTATATCAGTAACAGAACTGAAGAACCACATTGTTTTTTTGAAAATGCAGGAATTTGAGGATACATGTACCATCTATTTTGACCGATAACAAAAATGGTAGCAAAACTGATCATGAAGTTGTCGACATTCTTTTCAAAAGAGGACAATTAATGGAATTTAACCCTATTTTAACTGGGCTATTTCAGACCGGGTTTTTACTGGGGGGGGGGGGTCAATTTGACCCCCTCCCCCCCCCCCCCATAAGATCTCGGCCGTTTCACGGCCGATCGCCGCGAAAATTTGCATACATGTCAAGTGAAGTGTATAGAATACTATGGTAATTTCAATTTTTTGAAAAATTCACTCATTTGCATATTTATGGTAATTTATGCTATCAAGGTCATAAAATTCACATTTTTGCCCATAAATTATACATTAATCATATTTAAGCATTCTTTTTCACTACATATATTTGTTAGACCATTTGGAATAATAATACAACACTAAAACTTGGAAGAGCCAGGTTATTCCTTATGTTATTTCTTTTGATAATTTCTTATGTATTTCTTTGTTTTTTTAACTGATTTATTTTATTGTTTTTGTTGTTTTATTTCATTTATAACTACAATTCAACTATTTTGACCCCAAAACAAACACCTTAACTTTAAACAAGACTAAATAACCAATGTTTTATCTCTTTTTAGGAAAAATGACATTTCCATATGTTTTGTACACAAATCACAAAAATTAGCAATTTTCGGGCTGACATGCAAAGACAAAAGATCATGTGACTTTGTAACTATACGTCCGATTTTTGAAAATATCGTTTTAAAAGATGCGTAAGACTCGAAAGAAAAAAGTCATGAAAGGAAAATTTTATATCTGCCGTGGTTTCGGAGAAGTCACAAAATTTCTACAGGGGGGGGGGGGGATTTTTTTTTAAACATGTACTAAAGGAACCTTTCTATAAAGGCCACTGTTTGTGTTTCCCTTGGGCGGTCGCTATAGGCAGGTTTGACTGTATTTCAATTTTTCACAGGTACTTGTTAATTTTATTTTGTTTTATTCAATTTTTGCAGGATGTCGTGAGAAAGATTGAAAGTACCAAGACGGGGCGTAATGACAAACCTGCGAAAGATGTCGTCATCGCTGACAGCGGCACTATTGAAGTAAAGGAGCCTTTCACCGTCGACAAGAAAGGAGTATAAACTGCCTCCATTCCTTCCTGCCTCAAGGGGGGTGTTTCACAAAGCCTTTTTTTCAATGACAAATGACAAAAATCAATGACAAATCTGCTGATAACCCATCAGAAGCAAGGATTTCAGGTAGTTTATAACAAAGACTATCATTTGTCACTGACGACAAGTTTTGTGAAACGGGTCCCAGTTCTACCTAGATGTACAAATTTACAGCAACAACAGAACACTTTCTTTCAGGAAATAGATGTATAGCTTGTCTAGTTTTTCAAATTCACATGCAGTTTATGCAATACTTCATCAATTGTAAGCATAATGATGGTGGTGGTTCCGCTTAGAAATCAAACTGTATGGCCTAGATCCCTGATTGTCTGACCTCGGTTTTTTGTGTGTATATAATTTCAAACTTGTCTATATCTGAGGAATACATCTGTTCTAATCAGTGTGTTGTTGTTCTCACATTCTTAGAAAGTATAGGTGGACAGTCATCTAGATTCCTTTGAACTGTCAGGTATAGCTAATAGTTACCGCACTTCTTTATTCTCTTCAATGGTATTACTATGAATACTATCTAATACATAGTATGAAAAATCATTTTTGTAACAGAAAAGAAATGTTTGTAGAGTTTAATTGTGATAGATGACATACCTGCAGAATTGCATGATCCGCTTTTTACTGTATTTCTCTACCAGTGATTAAATATTTTTGGTGATTTTTCTATCTCTGTCATTCTTCTTGTCATAATCTTGAAATTGTTCAGGAACAGAAATTATCAAGAATTAAATAGTGCAGTTATTACTTGTTATTATAATTGTGTGTCCCTATACCATACATACATGTAAAATGCTTTCTCCATCTGTTTCATTGGTTTGTATTGTATCTATTTTTGGCAATTTCATAGACAATCATGACATTTATATAGCTTCAACCCAATCGATCTCTGATACCTATCCAACATGGATTAAATCTTTTTTTTAAATTTCAAATAGACAAACTATCTCTTTTTTTTTCTCTTATCTGCATCGCTCTGCTTGGTAGTTGCATTAGATAAAGGAAAGTAGTCAAAATTAAATTGGTTGATAATCAAAACGTGATGTCATTGTATGTACGATAAACAGTGCCTTTATTCACACCCATTCACTGTGAGTCTAGGAAGCAATATATATAACCAAAAATATGAAATGTTGTATGCATGTACATTTACTAGAAACTCACATTTACAAGATAGCAACTGCTTGTACTCCTGGTACATGAAGTATATAGAGAATGTTTTATTTTGTAACTCTTTGATGGCTTTGGTCGACCACTGGAACAAGTGGGACTGCCATAGTAATCTTTTGTCACACACATGAATTGTATACTTCACTCAATGTGGCAAGTCAGGATTTCGATCCACGGTGAATAAAGAATTAAAGGTTATTTATATATATATATATATATATATATATATATATATATATTTACATTCTTTTCAGGATTTCTAGTTTTTGGCCAAGGAACAGTCATGGGTTGCTATGGATGGATTCAGAAATGTTATTTGAGATGTTGAATTCATTCTTTATATTCTTAGCAGTTATGAAGCAATATTTTGATTACAATAATCTTATGTAGTGTCCATTTCTTTTTAGCAGGTGTGATGTCAAATTCCTTAAATTGATTTTTTTTTGGGTGGAGGGATATATGTTCATGCAAGAAAATAAAGACACACAGTGCACCTGTTAATTACAAATCTAATAATGATTGGTTCATTGGAATTGATGTGTTCACGAATGTACCTGCTTGTGTTTTTATGTGGAACTTACATTATTAAGAGAACAGACAGAGAATCAGCAAGGAATACTATAAAGGAATGCAGAACGAGGGAGAGAGAGAGAGAAAGAGAGAGAGAGAGAGAGAGGGGGAGGGAGAGAGAGAGAGAGAGAGAGAGGGAGACACATTCTAATACACACAGAGAGTGAGAAGGGAGGGGGGGGGGGGGGCAGAGGGGAAAGAATCGCACGAAAAACAGAATCGGTAATAACGAAAGCAATTAAGAAAGGACTAGAAGGATAATAAGAAATAGTGGAGGCCGTAAACCTTAATGTAAGCCACTCCCCTTTCTATCCTTCCTCAGCTTGACGCCCTGTTCTACTGAACTGAAATTGATAAATAGAGAGGGGTGTGTACCCTTCTGGCGTATCCAGACACTCACAGGGCGATATATACCAATTTGAAGCCTCAGGTTGAGGAAAACCTTTCAATTTGAACAAATCGTGTTTTTATAATTTGATTATAATATATTATCAATGTTTTCTGGATTGTTAAAAGAAGAGGGGGGGGGGGGTATCCTATGCTTCATACGCCACTCCTCCCTCTCTACTACCCGTTCTTGTTCTACCAAATGCCTTATATTCTACGACCAACACGATAAAAGGGAGGGGGAGGAGGGGCACAATGCCCCAAAGTTTATAACAATGAACTTTGCGCCTTTTAGAATATAATCGTGTTCATTTTCGACGCTATCAAATATCCCTTCTTTAGATTTTTACACACTACTGCAAAGTATGGTGCTAAAGCAATATCTTGGACCCCGTGAAGAGAAAATGTTGGAGATAATCCCTGATAATGTTTGAATTATAATAGAGGTGTAATTAGCATTGTCTACATTTTTACATTGTTTTGAGGTTACCCTTTGAAGGTGCCTATTTTTTTCTTCTTCCAGAAAGTGCCTTTTTTTTTGTGCACCCCCACTTTGAAAGACGCTCCGCCGCCCATTAAGTACATATTACTTCTCTTGGGTGGAGAGTGGCAAATGAAGGTTATAGTCTTATTGCATTGAGCTGAATCATCATTTTTTTCAATTTTTAAAAACAAAATTGTAATTCTCAAAAAGAGAGAGAAAGAGAGAGAGAGAGAGAGAGAGAGAGAGAGAGAGAGAGAGAGAAAAAGAGATAGAGAGAAAGATTAACATGCGAACAATTCAAAGAGAGTTTTAAAGAAACAAAATCATTGCAGAATAAAGAGGATTAATAATATCATTATATTTATTATTATTTATCATTGCCATTGTCATTATCACCATCATATACAAACGTAGTTTATATCCTTTTTCCCCAATTTAATAACCATGAGGTATGGTAGGTATATTATATAGTCCTTGGTTAATTAGACCTGTTCAATAGGATAGCGATGCGAATTCACAACTGTTACAGCTGTATATACTGAATTCACGCCTTCTAACAAAGCTTTCAGGGCATCTTATGATGCCACACCTAACTCGTTTAGAACACGTCGTACACATCCACGGTCCACCCATGTAATGATTTCTGGAGGGTCGCTAGGAAAGGATGGGGTAGTGATACCCCTACATAAATATTATATTGGCCAATCATATATTTTGTTTAGGCTATTTAAAAATCTTAAAGACTAACCACGTTTCTGATTCTTCTTTCACTGTCTTGTTGGAGATTTTCAGCAACCTAGTCAGCAAATTTGGACGAACGTCCCCCTTTTAAAAATAGTCTTGCGACGCCCCTCGTATGATTTCACAAGAAATTTCTCATCGCAATCAAACAATATATTGATCAATAAGTAGAATGAATAAGAGTGGTATTTGTCTTTACACAAAGAGAAAGTATACAATGCACTGCTGACAGGAAACCTAATTAGGGGTTATAGTTTTTGTGATTGTAATATCTTAAAAGAGTTGTCTTGTAGTCATTCATATTAGCAGCTAATGGATCCAATTTTATTCCGAAATGGATAATCATGACGGCTTAAGTTTTTGAGCGAAATTCAAGGAAGCAACTTTCGAGTGAGAGAGTATATTTCTGATTGGCGTTGATATCGTTTCTATTCGTACCTGTGTCGGATGATAAAAAGGATTACGCCATCGCTTTAGAGCACGCTACTTGGTAATTGTTTATTCCACTTATTTTTATGAAGTATCATGGAGCGTATTTACAGATAGTCTTGAAAATAATCAAAAAGGTTTTACTCCTCTTTTGAAAATTAGTTTCTTGATTTATTTTGTTGAATTCCGCATTGTAGCATGCGTATCGTCACTAGCTTCTCGTTCATCAAATATTCAATGTATACTGCTACAATATGGGACCAATATTTGTCCAGGTTATTCATTTAACGTGATTATCTTTAAGAGGATGTTAACTATTCCTTTCATAAAACTATGAAATGTAATTTTAGACTACGTTTTAGAAACGTGTGTCTGTTTTGGAGTTTCTACAGTCGAGTGTGAAGTAAATGATTATTTACCATTCATTTTCATGTCTAGGGATAGGCTTTTTACATCATCATCCGAAAGACGCGAATCAGTTTCGAACCGAGGACCGTCGGAGTCTGTTTGTAGGTGAAGAGAGAAACACAACCACTCGACCAACTCACAATCCACGTGATAAAACAGACATCATAAAGGCATGTAACATGAACAACTTGTGGTGACTTGAACAAAAGCAGAACTCGACGGGTGAAATAATCCTACCAGTGCAACTATATTTCGTTATAAAGAAAACAAATTTCAAGAACCAAATATGCAAGCCTCCGTTTTTTATTTGACAATCGTCCTCACTGCCAAGTTCTTGGCGTTTGTTCGTGGTTATCCAAACGGTGCGCCCATGTCAGCCTGTTCTTCATTCACGCCACAACACCCGGGGACGTCGCCGAGCACGGCTCCCTTCCCGTATACGATCACCACAGATACGGCATCGTATGAACCCGGCGGGAAGGTTACAAGTAAGACAGCTTTCTTCACAATTTTCTTTCTTTATGTGTTTATTTGTTTGCATTTTTACGTATTTATATACATTTATATATATATATAATATGCTACCTTTCTTCTACCATCCATAAGGTCTAATAATCATTTGGTGATTGTTATGATTAAACGATTATTAGACCATATATAGTAGACAAAATTGACATTATACAAATTGGTAATTAGACCGACTGGCAATTAGACCAAATGAGTAGTAGGAATATTGAATATTGGACCCAATGGTCATTAGAACAAATGATGAGTAGACGAAATGATTATTATACCATGTGGATAGTAGACTGGTTAGGTGTTAATGGGTATAGACCAATTGGGTAGTAGTAGACCAAACGGATATATAAAACCGGGGCGTGTGTACCGTCTCCTCACTGTTGGTTCAACAAGCGATCATGGTCGTACGGATAGATCGATCGGCTTCAACACTCCGATTTACTACAGATGCCCGTCTTCACAAGATACTTGTACTACATAATATGCTCCACCTATATATTTGATGGTATGAATAATAACTAGTACTCTTGTACATACAGTATAGGTTCACCACCATTTTTCAGTGCAATCTATTGTATGTGCTTATGCTGTAACTCAAAGTATGGCTGCATGAAAAGTATTCATTTTAAATGACAGTTTTTCAATTTACTGTCTTACAGAATGATCAAATGGGGCAAATCTCCCACTTCAACGGTAGCGACATTTTTTTGACAGGTCCGCCCCTTTTTCCATTTGTGTGATGGAAATTTTGTCATTTATGACTTATTCTTTTCTTTTTCAATATTATCCAATTTGACATCTTAAAAGAAAAAAAAGCAACAACAAAACGTTTACTGGCTCATCTGGGCAAGTTTGCAGCCAGAAGGGCGTTAACCCTATCCCTTCACACAGAGATAACACCCTTCTGGCCCCAAACAGTTCGACAGAGGAGCATAACTGACCCCAAAACATCAAAAAGGTTAGAGAATCACATTTTAAAGATGCCTCACCTTTTCTATAGTGTGGGTTATAAAGTCGGAATATTTTAACCGCTTTTCATGAAATGATTATGACAATATTCTTGATAAACCTTAATCTTCTCAGAACTGTATTGATCAATCTAAAGAGTCATAGATATTGATCAATCAAGTTCTGAGAAGATATTCACTTTGTCTATCAAGAAAAAAAAAATCATATCCCCACAATTAATTCACGAAAAGGGGTTAAGAAAATTATTCAAAATTTCATGGGCAACAGTAATCTACTTTTCTTTCTTTCAGTGACGATATCCACAAACACTGGCACTAGCATCCGTGGTTTTTTCATCCAAGCCCGAGTGGTTGGCCAGACCATGCCTGTTGGTTTCTTTGAAACGACGCCCTCTACGGCCAAACACCTCACATGCCCCGGTGGGCCTGCATTAAATACATTGACACACACTTCCAGAGATATCAAGACTCGGGTGGAAGTCGGATGGCGGGCACCTATGTCATTGCGTGGTAACATACAGTTTGTGTAAGTCTTATCATAGGTTTCAGGGGCGTACGCAGGGGGGGGGGGGGGGGGGTTTTGGGGGTTCAACCCCCCCTTGGTATTTTTATGTATGTAAACCCCCTAAAAAAAACCTAAAAACCCCCCCAACCCCCCCCCACCCCCCCCCCCCCCCCCCCCCCCCCCCCCTTTGGTTTTTTATTTTTTTTATTTTTTTTATTTTTATTATTATTAAATAAAAAAAATAAAAAAAAAAAATAAAAAAATAATACCCACGGCTAACCTAAATAGTCCATGGGCCAAGACCAGAAATTTGGGTTATTGGTACCACTCAAGGTGGCAAGATCTACTTATGCATTTTGAAATGTCCTATATCTATACATAATATTTTGATATGATAGCATTTCCAGACTGGCAGCTTAGTCATATAATCAGCGGTTTCCATGGCAACACAACAATAAAACCGGTATTATTCGAAGAAACAGTTAAAGTCATTTATAAATTA